TTTGGTAATAATTATCTATCAATTAGTTGGATTTACAATCTATAATCTTGGTTACATTATATATAGAAGCTTTCGTACCACATAATCATGTATAATACAAGTTAAGCAAAATAATACAAGAATTCCAACCACGAGTAAAGCAGCCCAACATTCAGCTTCGCAAATAGTTTTCTGCTGAGTGGGACGTTTCCTAGGACGTTTTGGTTGACGACGTATTAACATTTGATTTATAGTTGAAAATGATTCATCTACAATTATACGTGAATTTACTTGTTGAATTAATGATGAGTTGATGAATAAAATAGAAAGTAAGGTAATCGAGAATTGAAATAACGATAAAAAAATTTTCTTTGATATTTGCTGTATTAACATATTTGAAAATTATCGTTTTATCGCTTAGAGTATTATACATAAGACAGCTTATCAGCTGTCAGTTAAAGAGATATTCCAAAATTTTATATTAGCAAATTTTTTCGAAAGATCTTTAAGCCAATAATATTGGAAAATAAAAATTGAAACAAATAAATAAAATATAATAAAAAGAAAGAACGATACTAGTTCATTAGTCGAAAAAAAAAGAAAAGTGGGAGTATTGATAACGATAATAAAAAAAAAAACATAAACAAAAAAAAAAAAAAAAAAAAAAAAAAGAAGCGCTAAAAATCTATGCACAGCATAAAAAATTGAAAGACGATGACCAGATGATGTCGAGAGATCAACAAATGAGAAATATTCGAGATGTAATGAAAAAATTGAAAGAAAGTCAAAAGATAGAGTATAAATTGCCTAAAAAAAAAAGGAAAATTATGCAGGGACTTGCTTTACGAAATGGTCATTTGGAACCTATTGCTGAAGAAGATGAAGAATTTATGGAAAAATCTGAAGAAGACAGTAGGGAAGGTGAAAAAAGGGAAACTTTAGCGGATGAGGATTCGGTCGTAAGTGAGGATGGAAGTGAAGATATAAGTGAGGAAGAATCAAAACCTCCAGAGAAACGAACGTTACCTGAAATTAAAGGAAAACAAAAAGAAATTACGGGCTAAAAAAGTATTTAGTGTTTATTTAATGTGTGTATATACCTTTTAATATATAGAATTTATTCTCAATTTTGTACAAAAAAAAGAAAAAATTAATATTTTTGGGTACTAAATTTAATTATTAAATCATAATACTGTTACGTAAAAATACCCCACTCGATTTTACAATAACGCATGCTTCTAGTGAAGTATATTATACTTGCAAAGCAATTTTCAGAATTTCGGGTTGTAATTCTCGGAGTTCTGCTGGCATTAAGCAATATCAACCCGACTATGCTAAAGCAAAATTGTTAGTTGGGAATTTTTTACTTGGGTGTTGGAGTTGCTGGAATGGTTGTAAAATTTTGAGTAAAATTTGTTAATTCCGAATTGGTCGACCTATTTCGTTGAATTCCGACCCAGAAAGACGATGTGTGAAATATATGCATAAAACAATTGTTTTCATTGGCAATTCTTTTTTGCGCATATAATTAGTAATCATATCACGGGTGTTTTTTCACCTGATTTTGTGCCCTATATATAATAAACTTGCTTCATTAGGCATCTTGTTCAATGTTCAAACTCGTTTCAGCCCAAGAGAAGTTTCACAACACTGCCAAAGTCAAGTATCGCACATAATTGCTGATTCGTCAACGTCATAATGATAATAAGTTATGTTTATTTTTAACTTTGCTACGTACCGCTACATTTATTATTATATCCTGCATGATACTCTATTTCTAAAATTTTTTTTTTTTGTTATTTTATGTCGTAATTTAAAATAAAAATGTGACATTTAAAAAAAAAGAGGCGTATATATTTAAAATTAAATCTAACCATAACGATGACAACTATCGCAGCAGGCGCAATTTAAGGAGTTGTACTTCTTTGATTATCTATTTTATCGAAATATATATAAAAATATTTGATTGCAATTAGGAAACTCTTTAAATATTAGCCTTAAATTTATTCTTATAAAACCGGACAAGTAGCCAAACTTAAAGAAAAACCCTAATTGAATAAAATGTTTGATAATTACGTAAAAGTAGCAATGATGAAGTGCACTTTTTTTTATTTTAACTTTATATATACTGTATATATATATATATGTATATATATATATTTAGATAAAGCCTATTGTAAATTCAGAATATTAAAATATCT